CAATTTGTTAAAAATATTTTGCATTATAAATTCAAAAACAAAAAATTATAACTATGATTATAATTATGTTTTTAAGTGTGACTTGTAATTATAGAATTAAATATTAGCATATCCAGAAAAAAATAATATATAATATTAAATTACTGAAAAAATATATAATAATGTCATGTATTATTTATTATTTATGACTATTAAGAATAAGATATTACAATTTTGAATATGATATAATTCTAAAAAATAAAAATATCCAATTTTCAAAGGTTCAAATTTGATTTTTAATTCTGTCATTGTACTTATAGAGGATGTTGAAGAGTACTAAACAGAAAATAAAAATCAGATTTAAATTTGTAGAATCTTAATTTGTTTGAAATTGTATCATATTTCAAAATTGTTCAAAATTGTCATCTGACCTTAAATATAATTAATGTTATTAAAACAGATTTCTATAGCAATTGACTCATATATCATGTTTATTTTCTTTTATCATAGTATCCAACAGTCCTTGAATCTTTGGATTCTGGAATTATATTAGAATTTTATGTATTCTCGAAAATTTCTAGAAAACCTCTGAAATTTCATGGTTGGCCTAGAATTTATCATTCTTTCATTCCAAAAAAATTAGAGCGTGAAAAAATAAAGAAATAAAAAAAAGTTGTGTTTGGGTATAAGTTCTTTCTTAAAGGTGCAATAAGTTACAATAGAAAATTTGGATTTAATCTCTAAAATAAAATAGAAAAAAAATCTTTTGTGTTGACACAATGTTTTTTTTTGATATTTATAAAACAACAAATAATATTGTTTCAAATTTGTTAGTGTTTTAATTCATTCATATAAAATTATAACTTGAATATAAAGCATATAATATTGTGCAAATCGATGAAAATCAATTAAGGCTCCTGAATAGTCATTCTTCACTTCAGTCATATGTCATGATTCAATATGGCTGAGATGAGTACTCGGGAGCTTTAAATAATAAAAATTAATCGATGGATAAATTCTGGAAAAATCAGAATTTTTATCTGGAATATCCTGGAATTATTCTTGAATTGATTAGTCAGATTTCATGTTTATTTCTTTCTTAATGTGTCTTAAAAAAATTATTATACATGAATATGCAAATTCAGAAATTTAAAAATGAAAATATATGAATTATGGATTGTTATTTATGATCAGGTCGTCCATGCATACTATGAGGCAAATGAACTCTATGATGAACTCTATGTTCTCTGATCCATTCGAGATGATGGGACAAAATGCACTTGTGCCACGTTATGGTAGAGGATTTAATGATATGCCAGTTTCCCTCTTTGATCCTCATTTTGGAAGATCATTTGATTTTGTAAGTATAATTGAAGATAGTTAAGTAGATAGTTAAGAATGTAGTTATTAATAATAATTATTATTAATGATCTAAAATTATCATTACAAATACATTTAACTTTAACACAAATTAATGTATAGAACAACATGGCAAGTAATGGAAACTGTCATTCATTCATGAGCCAATCAGTAATGACTATGTCCAGTGGTCCTGATGGTCGGCCACAAGTTTATCAGGAGACTATGTCTACAAGAATGGCACCTGGTGGCATAAAAGAGACCAAAAAAACAGTAAGCGATTCTCGTACTGGAACCAGAAAAATGGCTATTGGTCATCACATTGGTGAGAGGGCACATATCCTCGAAAGAGAGCGAAATGTGCAAGGCGATGAAGAAGAACGACAGGAGTTTATTAATCTTGATGAAGGTGATTCTTTTTCTGGCTTAAAAATTTAATTTAGCATATAAAGGAAAATCTTTTTTTTTCTATATAATATATATAAATTGTTTTTATATCTATTATAGAAGAAGCAGACAGTTTCAATCGCGAGTGGGAAACACGTACGCGTCGTGTTGCTGGTGCAATTGGTGATACAAATTTGGCTAGTAATGTCAGGGCTAATCATCCATCTCCGAGACAGTTAGCTTTACCATCTGCCACGGATGTACCAACAAGGTCAGTATCTTAGAGAACAGAATGGCTAAAATATATACATGCTCAAGTAAAATCTTGTTCAAGGTAGGAGTATATAAACATTCATTTTTTATTGCATTCGTTATAAAATTGCATGATACCTATACTGATAATACATTTCATAATATAATTTTTCACTTTCTTCACATTTACACTTTTCAAATCTTTAATCTAATTACTTTTCACAATATTTTTAGCATGTGCAGTGTTACATTATTATAATCAAAAAAAAAAAAATGTTAGGACAGAGAGAGGCTAATTCCGTCAGTTTCATATTAAAGTAATACGACAATTTACAATAACAATATTTCTTTGTAATGATGTTCTTATACATTATACAATCATAATTGTTCCTTGAGAGTACAAACACAACCTTTAAATATATAACAACATGTGTTTAATCAACATGTGTTCAGAAACATAAGCATTATTAGGAGAAGTAGACGAAAAAGCCTCACTCTTAATCTTAATGAAATATGTAAATAATTTTTTATATAAATTATATGTAATATCAATTATATGTACATATTTATTAACTTAAATTAATCTGAGTGCAAATATTAATTGAATATTCTACGAAGTATTTTTAGTAAATATTTTAAAATTAATTTTTAGTAAATATTTTAATATTAAATTTTTAATTTTGTTAAATTTTGATCATGACATTATTTTATTTATTAATAATACTTAACAAATTATTAATAATAGTTTATAAAAAACATTGACAAATTTTATATTTGCACAGCAGATATATGAACTGGATATAGACTCACCAGAAAATAATAAATGGAAATACGGGATTTCATCATGTGTGGCCATACTTTTTATTATATTATATTACATATCTTCTTTGTTTCTGTATGTAGTTTTAAAATAAATATATGCAATATATGCATGTTTGCTTTTCAATATATATTGTTATGAAAGCATGTATATTTATTGTTTATACACAGCAAAATCTATTTTTATAATTTTTTATGTATATACTTTACTATATAGTGACCACTAAAAGTCCCTGAATAATTTCTGAATGATTCGAGATATAGGATAATTTTTTCTTCTGAATAATAATGTTCAAATGATCATAATTCTAAGGAAAAAAATCATAGAGATCTTGATCGGTCTGCTTGTTCTCACCTCAAAAAGTTCTTTTAAACGAGTCTTCACTCGACTCCATATGTCATTTAAGATTTTCAGTCCCCCTTTTTCCAGGGAATATTAAGGTGGGTATTTTTGAGGTTTAAGATAGATTTTATGATCCCGTTATATCCCTGTAAATTTCAATCCTATATCTCGAACCATTCAGAAATTACTCAGGCAGTCCGGGACTTTTGCAGGCACTCTATACTTTATTATATGGAAAAATCAGATCTAATAATAAGAAAAAGAAAAATGATATTATATTTGAAATTCAGAGTTTGTATATATATTTTACGTAATTCTCTTCTTTCATTGCAAATAAAAGAAATAGCTCATTATTTATATGTAGAATGATTTAAATTTATAAAATATTCTTTTCATACGTATAGCATCATTTTATTCTTTATAGCATCACTTTATTCTCTATTATTTTATCCTTTATTCTGTTATCTTGTATTCTGTTATTTGCTTCTTTGCTGGAATATTTTTCTTATTTCTTTTATTTACATTAGTCTTGTTGTCCTGTGCTTTTGTAGTCGACATTCTAATAGAAGATGGTTTCCTTCTGCTAGACGTGCTGTAAGGTCCTTAAATCCTTTGAAAGTAAAAAGTACACCTTCCTCTTCAAGGTAAGTTTAATTTCTGTCAACTATATCAAAGATTAAAATTTATAACTTATATCAAAATTTATGCCTAAATGAAATAAATTGAGATTTTTATTGTTTTATATATGTAATAAGTGTATGTAATGAGTAGATGAGATGATTTCATAATTTATCGCAGCTTCAAATGTGCTATTTCATACATGTACATATCTAACATTTTTTTTTCACAAAGAAGAATTGCAGTGCTTATAGATAAATAGTAAATTGAAATAATAATATTCAATCTCTAATATTTATATTTCGCAATTATTATCAAGTAATATCTCTTTTGCAATCGAGTTTTATGCTAATGTAGTATCTATTATAAAAAACATAATACTTCAAAACCGATATTTATAGTTTGCGCTTATATTTAAGACTGTTGTCAATCTTAAGATGTCGAATTAATCAGATTAGCATTTTAAGATATTACTTAAGGCAATCTTGAAATAAGAACGTCAATAAATATTGGTGAGACATTTTTTAGGAATATTATTATTCTTATACTCTATTGCATTATCTAAAGGTGTAATTTTCATTGAGATGTTTATTGTTACAATGCAAAATTATGATTTAATGTCATCATTTTTTAAACATTAGTTTATGGTGCATTTTATTCTTAGATAATAATATTTATCAATATTATTATCAATGCTATAGCCTTAATCGTATTTAAATTAAGATGTGAAATACGTAATTCATAATACAGCGAATCTGCTAAGATTGATACAGAATATACCGTCTTGTGTATGTATTGCAGGTACAGCCGCAAATATTAATAAGTTAAAAGCATAGTATACACCAGTGACGCTTATGCAACGTAAGTACGTTGCGCTTCACTCTATTATTTCTTTTTGTTTATTTCAATTTCAGTATTAATTTGTAATTACAAACACTTATATTTAACATGTTTCGAATAGTAATATTTTTAATATCTATCTCGATATTAGAAAGTGTATGAAAGTGTATTATATACTTGGAATGAGAGCAATCGATTTAATTCTATCATATTAGAATAAAAAGAAATAATATTACGTTTTTGTACGCTTAAGTTACAGAATGAGAGTACTGTCCCATGACAGTTGGAATTTCGGAAAAGTAATATAATCAATTAGAATCATTTGTTAGTAGAAATACGCTAAAAATGATTGTGATTGGTCGTATTACTTTTCCGAAATTCCGACTTTTATGGGGAAGCACCCTGATTCCAATTTAATGACAATATCTACATATACTCAATCCTAGTTGATATTAATATATTAGGGGCCTACTCTGCAATTCTTAAAGATTATAACTGTACAGTTACAGTCGTTAAGAGTTATAGACTAAACTCTAAATATTAGTAGCTGTAAACAGGTATATTAGGTATAGTAGCTGTATATTAGGATTGTATTAGGTTTTTATGTAAGTATCAGTTATAATTTAATATTATAATTATGATATAATTTATTATTAATATTAGA